CTTCTCTCTCTCTGCCTACGGTTTACCGGGCAGTTCTGTTTGTGACGATATATATATATATATATATCGTCAAATAGAACTGCCCGGTAAACCGTAGGCAGAGAGGGAGAAGAGGACAACAAACGAGGGGCTGTGACAAACTGTTTCGTTGGAGTTTCACCGACTCATCAGGAGGCTGATATATATATCGTCACAAACAGAACTGCCCGGTAAAACCGTAGGCAGAGAGAGAGAAGAGGACAACAAACGAGGGGCTGTGACAAACTGTTTCGTCGGGGGCTGTGATATGTATAGATATTGTCACATATTTTTGAACGAAGAGAGCGCACTTTGCAAACAAACGATAAAAATACACAGGACAAACATGAAGAGCACACTGAAACCATTCATTTTTCTCGTTCTTCTTTTTTTCACCATGCCTCTCATGCACAAGGCTAGACACGTTGATGAATTTGAGTGTGAGCTTGCCCGCATCCCTGTGTGCCATAACAGCCCACTTGTACTCTGTGACAAAGAGGCAGAGTAAAGGGGGAGGGGATAAACACAGAGAAGAGCGATGGAGAAAAGAAGGGAAAGTATTTGCTGTGTTCCTTCCTCATACAGATTTTCACCATAAGCGGCCATATCAGCAGTCCTAGCACTAGAAGAGAATCAGACAGCTGAGGAGCTGAGATGAACTGGCTGGCTGGAACAAAAGGAGTTTAGTTTCAAGTATCAGAGTAAACGAAAGTCCAGATTAGCAAAAGGTAGGAGAAAAGGACCGCAGGCTAACTTAGGCAGAGGTGAGGGGTGGTACATCCTTCCTGATGGAAGTAATCAATGCCATCCTTCGGACCTCCACACCAGAAGGGGGAGGAGCGTGAGCGTGTTCTCAATGTATTTCCTTTGACTTGCATGTGGAATAGGAACCGGACTGATGCTCCCCAGAATGGAAAAGGAGCCGGAACCGTAAGGTTCCGTTTAAAAAAAAAAAAAAAAAAAAAAGAAAAAAAAAAAAAGAAAAGAAAAAGAAAGGGAAAGTAAGGAGTGTGGAATGAAGATGAAAGCAAAGGAGAGGATAAGAACAAGGCTCAAGAATGAGTCTGTCCTTGACAACAGAGAGGACATACATTGAAAGGATGAGGTGCATGAACTCATGGAAGACCTAGCTGAGCATTCTCAGAGCAACACTTGCAATGACTTGCTGATTTCTGCTGCCGAGATTCACTGCGAGGCTGTACACCAACCGTAGGGTTAGTTTTGTAATTTTGTTTGGCTGAGGGCTAACCGAGAGGTCCGTCTGTGAGGAAATTCGTGAGGGACAGATCTGTAAATCCGGGAAAATACAGGCCCGGTACTAACCGAATTCCTACAGCTACCCTAACTGCCTATAGCAGGCCCGGGCTACCCCTAGGACAGACAGGCCCTAAGTGGCCTATACTGCTATACGGTCCTATAGCCTATAGCCGGGTACGGTAGAGGCCGAGAGACCGAAACAGCAACGGTACCGGTCAGTCCGGTCAGTCCGGTCTAGGTCTAGGGTAGAGTAGGAAGTCTATAAGTCCGGTAGGGAAAATAGTTTGGGACTTTTGGCTTTTCATTTTTCGTGTGCAGCGTTCGTGGCCAACCAAGTTTTGCAGCGCTGAAGGTCTACAGCGGCCCCTGAGACTTCAGCAGCGTGAGGCAGCCATAGCCGGCCTATCTGAGACAGCCATAGCTGGGGCTGGTCTCAGCGCATTTATCCCCTGGGGATATCTGCGCCTGGCAGGACTAATTGGAGGCTCTTCACTGGGGGTATGTGGGTACTGCTGCTGCGGTAGCAGCCAGGCAGCTATAGCTGCCTTCTTCATCGTCAGAGTGACTCATCGGCACTGGGGAGTACCTCGCTGTTCATGATCTGCATCTGGGTGTATGGCGCTGGCCTCTGGGAGGCTGTTTCAGTGCAGCGCTAGACTCTGGGAGTGGAGTAGTGAGTGGAGTGTGTGGTCCTGAGGTGGCGAGATACTGGGTTGAACTCTGTACGATAATTTGGGTTAATTGAGTTGAGTTGGCTCATCATCTGTGTGATATTCCAATTGTGATCTTCGCAGTGTCATCTTGTGATTGGTTGTTGGGAGTGTGTCAGAGAGAGAGAAACACTGGGTGTATTCTCCCCTTCTGTGCATGGTTGCTATTCCGCTGTTTATCTCTGGTCTGTGTGCAGTTGGACTCTGTCTCCTCCTCCCCTTTGTCTCATGCATGTATGGGCGTGTGTGAGTTCTTCTGTGTGTGAGTGGCAAACAAATTGTCAGACAACCAAGTTCATAACACACTTGCCACGATGGCTGACATTTAGCATGCCCGCCATACACTCCTAACAATTGGCATGCCAATTGCAGGCCAACATGAAGAAAGACAGGGCACCACAGAAGACCACGCATTCAGTATAAGGCCCATTGCAGCAAAATGAACATATAGTGCCCAGATGCGGAGTGTGCCTACACTCCTCTACACACACCATGCCATTGTAGTGATTTTGACAGAGATGATGACGGCAACAGCGGAGTTTAAGTGTTGGTAGTGCAAGGAGGTGGTCACAGTGTCGGTACACTGTCCTGCTGCAGCACATGGAGAGAGAGAGAGAGAGAGAGAGAGAGAGAGAGAGAGAGAGAGAGAGAGAGAGAGAGAGAGAGAGAGAGAGAGAGAGGTTATGGCAACCGACCAGACCAGGATGACAGTCAGCAGTCCGCTCAGCAGTCGATGTCAATGTGACCTTTAACAGCCAGCAGTCGGCTCAGTAGTCAAGGTCAATGCGACCTGTTACACTCAGCAGTCCGCCGCTCAGGAGTTGATGTCAATGCGACCTTGATTGTAGGCCAATTCTTCATTTGCCCCCTTCTTTTGGATTCCTTGTTAGGAGGCCTCACGAATCCCTACTGGTAGAATCTGGATCATAAGGCAGAGATGGAATGAAGACGGAAATAAAGAGCCTAATGCCATCACATGCCATTGGTTTGCATGAATACAATCCATGGGCATTATACTGCCCTGGCTGATCCCAAAGATGCTCTCAACACAGCAATGAAAGATGAGGCCGTGTTTTTGATTCACTTGAATGCAGTAACGTGGTTGGGATTACAATCAGGTTTTTTTAACTTGTTTTAATTCGACGGATAACGATCAGGATGTTTGGGTGAACTTTTTTTTTCCGTAAAAAATATATATATATATTCTTTTTTTGTTTTTTTGATTTTTAACTCATGAATGGCTACGAATTTGAACATGACTCCAAGGCGAAAGTTATTTGTATTGTTATTTTACATAACATATATTTTTTTCAGAGTTTTTGGAGAACTTATTTTGTTTTGTTTTTTAACTTTTTTTTATATTTTTTATGTTCGCGTTCGGAGGGTTTTTGGCGCTTGTTCGCGTTCGCTTCCGAATGCGAACACGGTGCTACGTAGTGAAAATGTTTTAACTAACCTTTGGGTCATCAACAAACATCGGAATCTGAGAGAGGAATTTGTTGAATTCATGATTGACCTTCTTCTCATCGGGACCGTGCTCCTGGCATCACAAGAAATCCACCAATCAATCAGTGACTCGCGGAACTGGAAGGAAAAGAACAAAACGAAAGAAAGAAAGAAAGAGAGAGAAACAGCATAAAGGATTGAGTTTGATTGACACTCATACACAGTGTCACACACACACACACACACACACACACACACACACACACACATGAAACGGTATTCACCAGTTCGCAGTAGCGAACGCAGATCCCAGGGCTCGATCCCTAGTTCCCCATTTTACCTGTGTACAGTATTGATGTCAACTCGTAGATTTGAACCTGTGACCTGTAGGATCGCCAGTGGTAGGTAAGTTTTCGTAGGTCACCAGGTAGAAGAGATTCGAACTGTAGACCTGTAGGGTAGGAGTCTAGACAGTTCTAAGGTCGTAGCTGTAGACTGCCTGAAGGGTCAAGGTCGTAGCTGTAGACTGCCTGAAGGGTCAAGGTCGTAGCTGCTACTTACCTGAAAGGGCAAAGTCGTAGCTGCTACAGTACCGAAGGGCCAGCGTAGAGGTTTCTAGAACTGGCCTTTCGGAGTTGGCCTGCGTTCAGCAGAGGCAAGTGGTCAAGTGGTGGTAGTCCACCTAGCCCAGTCAGCAGTCCCAGGTAGCCCAGTCCGGTCCAGTCAAGCAAGTACCGTCTGGGACTGTGCACATCGTGGGCCAAAGGATACAGGGCAGACCAACGCAGCGCAGAAGTATAAATCAAGAGGCTGCGTCCAGTCATTCACTCGTTCCTGCGGATGCCATGCGGAAGCGCTGCCTCAGCAGCTTGTGCGAGGAGGTCTGCAGTGCGCCCGAAGACGAAGAGGGCAGTGAAGCATAGTGTAGCGATAGGGTAGCGGCAGCCATAGCTGCCATAGCTATAGTAGTGTGTGTGTGTGTGTGTGTTGCGTGGGGTTACAGAGTGTTGCGTGTGGGACATCCAGGGTGATCCAGAGTGCGAACAGTGAGTTGTGTGGGCGCTCAGTCGCCATAGCCAGTTGGAAGAGACTCTTACCTGGTTACGGTATCTTTGAGTACTGTGTGGGTGCAGGTCGCCAGTATGCTGTATCGCTGTTTGCATGTGTGACAAGTGTGAATAAGCCAAGTCTGATTGCACACACACACACACAGAGGAAAATACACATCTGGATCGAAACACTTACAGACAACAGATCGTTGATGGTGCTTCCCAGAAAATATCAGTGACAGTATCTGCAGGATGATGTGACCATATTGCGAGGAGAGGGACAGGAAAGGAAGAAAGGAGGTAGGAAGAGAGGAGGTTGATCGGCGCCACCATGGCCACACAAAACGGCAACAATGAACAAAGAACGATAAAAAAATAATGGCCGTGGAGACGACAACCAAGGGGAGATGACAAGAAGTGGGAGGAGGGTGGGCAGAAGCTTCACGTCTACCACTATGGCACTGTAACTCTCAACCTCCCCTCTCTGAAACCTCAGGTCAGTGTTGCAGGAAAGCCAGGCAGTCACCCCCTTGGCTTGCCTGCTCATACATCCTTCTGTAACACAGAAGGTCCCTAACTAAGTCATACTTAGTCATCCAGTAGAGCCCTCTCAGTCGCTTGTCATTGCACTGCTGTTGTTGTGGTCATTGTTTGTTGTTTATCATCTGGAGGTACTCTAGCCTGGCCAGGTACCTACTGATGTAGTTCACGGCCACCAGTAGTGGTGGACGTAGTGTCTTCTGAAGAAATTTCAGAAAAAAACGGGTGACATCTTATGCGCTCAAAAACCTGCTGACCACGATGATTGACAGAATGAATTCTGGTCCTTAGCCTCATCTGCACCAGGGTAGCATGATCCGCGACCAATTGTAACCCCATGGAGCCCCTCAGCTGCACATTACCAATTTACCAGTGCTTCAGCTCTTAGCTGTCGAGTAGCAGTCACCAATCAGAAATAGGTCCAGAAGTTTTCAAATGATGAACCATCATTTTGTTTGACAAGGACTAAAATAGAGGTGCGGAAAACAATGAGAAGACAAGCAGCACTAGACTCACAGAAATGACATAAGCTGAGGCTTAGGGTTTTGGGCCTTTTGGCCCTTTTGGGGTTGGGCAAGGTCCCATTTACCTTGATTCTTCATTTCTGGACATTGATCGTCATAATCTACGACCCAAAGCGAAGAATCCAGACATGTGGGATCTCAGCCAAGGAGAGCAGAAATATGACGAGCCACACAAAGGGCCCCATATTTTCTTCTCTTGTTTCCCGCAACTGCCCCTGCCCCCGCTCCCTCCCCCGCCCCCTCCCCCTCCCCCTCCCCCTCCTTCTCCTCTCTTCCAAACACACGCACACAGAGAGTTCCCCTACTTGCCACAATGTATCATCATCCTATTATGACAGTAACCTGTCACGAGACTGATAACAGATGATCCATAACCAATAATCATGACATATAATAATATAATCATGACCATGACATATAGTCATGGCATATAATCTACAATAATCTCAGTAATAATCTTGAATTACCTGGGGCCAGTCAGCTGTGGATATACCTCAAGACTACCACCCTTCCAAAAAGAAAAGAAAAGAAAAATGACAGTAACTCACCTGGAAGAAGTACTGTCCACAGGCGTCATAAATGGTCTCCCCCAGGTGACCTTTTCCGTAGATATGGTAAGGATTTCTCCTTGGCAGTCTCTCAAGCCACTGCCTATAGATATTGGCAACAGTTTTTTTGGTGATTCTACGACACTCGGCAACTTCAATATCGCTTAAGATGGGCTGTGTCAATTTCCCAACATATGCCTCCCAAGGGCTCTTGCCATCCTCACCAACCTGCAGTTCATGGCCATTATTGAGCAACAATTACAGTCAGTGACTCAGTGGTTAAAAAGGAAGCCATCCAAATGTGACTACGGCCTTCACCCGAATAGAACGCCCGGTCATTATCGCTGCATCTGGACTGAAAGTTGGGCCAAATGCAGCTATAATGACCGGGCGTTCTATTCGGGTGAAGACGGTGGTAGCCCATAGCCCATTGACAATTTGACATTCACTAGGAGAAAGCAGAACTGCTCAAACTCCAAACATGAACAGGGTTGTTTGACCTGAGACAAAGAGATGATGTCCCTTGGATAATACATTTTTAAGGGCATATTCAGACTTGTGCTTTCCAGAATCTGCACAACCGCAATGGAGGGCAGATTCAGTCAAGTAAGCCCTAGTGTGATATATGATCTTTAACATGTTTGCAAGTTTTCAATCTACTTCCCCTACACCTGCCCTACCTGTCACCCTCTGCAGTCAGTGTCACATAGCTAGAGTACATATGGGGGCCTCCAAACAGCAGTATTGCGAAACGGTTCACACGTATCAGCGTCCGATCCCGGTGCTAAGTCCAAATGTTCCCCTGTACCATAGACCCTTCCAGTAGGTCGTACAGAAGCTTCCGGTTTTCCGATTGATACACTGACTGTGGTTATGTTCATTGTGGTCACTTTTGTCAGTAGTTCAGTTCATATGTATTCAATCTCATATATGTCTGAGGAATGAGGAATCTGTGAGGATCCTTTTTGCTTCGATTTATGTGCTATTTAGTATTTACTATTTATCTATTTTTACTAATTTTTTGGTATTTTTACTTTTTTTTATGCTCATATTAGTTACCGGGGATAACTTGATTCCAATGTTTTTAGGATGGGAAGGAGTAGGAGAGGCGGTTACCGGAGACCCAAAATTTCAGCGTTTTTTGCCGAGAAAGCATTGATTAGGCGTTATTCTCCAACATTAAACACACACGGTCGGGGTGAGTGTTGGAAGAAAGCGAGGAGGAGGAGAGGAAAAAGGGAGAGAGGAAAGCGACATGAGTACAAGAAGCAACGGAGAGTACTTACGTTCGATGGCAGTACATCGTTGATGGAGCTCATCAAAGGAACAAATATACCTAGGGTGTTCGAATCAAGTGGAGGTGAAATCGGGGGGGAGAAATGGACGATCGTAAAAGGTAAAGTAGGGGAAAGCGTTGTTAAATTTCATGATAGGCAGTCTCCTATCAAAGAGTGCAAGAGAGAGATTGAGGAGGGTGGAGCATTCACCGTGGTACGGGTCAGGGTTACTTCGTCAGCAATCGAACATCGGCGGTATGTTCTTCGGGACCAGCTGGGACAGCCACGGAGGATAAAGAATATGTATCGAAAAAAGTCAGCGGAGCTCCTTGCACTATATAGAAATGCCAGCACGTTTGGTAGGAAATGTACTAGGAACCAGCTCAAGATTAGAATAACAAGGGTTATTAAGGTCGTATTTGGGACCGAGATTAGGAGGCGACCATATGTGAAGATACCTTTCTCCACGGGAGTCAGCTAACAGGAGGTAAGAGAGTTGACGGCCAAAACACTTGAGCAAGGGATTGTGGATCTTCACCTTCGGAAGTATGTAGCGGCGAGATTTCGGGTAGTATTTAGTAAGAGATTGACCGTTGGACAAGTGATACACAACCATAACTGATACACAACCATCGGTTGTGCGCCAGTGCGAAGAAGGTAGTATGTACGCGTGAAGGTATGGACCTTCCCAGATCAGGGGGGCATGTGAAAGTAAGGGTCAACGACGTACCCGGCGTTCCGACATTCGTCATGAATTCAAGGAATGTGACCGGTGGTGATGATGTTTCAATAAACAATCTGAGGAGATGTGTTAGAACAGCAGTTCAACCGTGGGGTAGAGAAAGGGAGGTAAGAATTGATGATGAAGATTTGGGTAGGTGTTTTAAGGTACATTCCGCCCAAGGAACTCGAGCGATGACAGGTAAGGAGGTGAGGTCGTGTTTTCGAATGTTTGAACATCTTATTTCTGTACCCGTAGACCGAAATCCCAGAGCAACTCTTATTATTTGTCCCGTTGTGAGGAAACCCGGGGAGGGGTCGCCCACTGCTCGCTGAAGCCAAGGGCAACGGCGCCTGTCACTCGCCGCGCCCGCTTCCGAGGTCCTCAGCGACCAGTAGGGTGTTGGTTTCAGCACTGACCTCCTACGCAACCATTATGAGTGTCATGCTCGAAGTCCTTCGCTGCCTGTGGGGTTGTGATAAGATTGAGTAATCTGAAATGGATCGTCGATCTTCAAGTTCACTTTTAGCGCAAGGATCACCTTACTTAAGCTGGAGAGTATCTTGCGAGCTCAATCTGCAAGGGATGCTAGGGACCGCCAGGTCATCAAAATGCAAGGGTTTAGGATTTTTCAGGGTAAGAGTCGAACAATCAAACACCCATTACTCACAAGAAGTGGAGCATCAGTTTGATTCACCAGAATGCGGAGTTGCAGCTAAATTCACTATCGCCGCCCTCGGAGTGTGCCAACAGCGGATAAGTCTAATAATATACCTTCTCAAAAAAAAGATTTAAAAGTACCATGTTTCACCAACAGCCATTCACAGGCTTGTTGGGCTCATCTGCCAAAGTGCCCGTGCGTGCCAACAACCGAAATGCTTGATTGCCTCATCGGGGAGACCGTTGAAACCACTGAAAGTAAGCCCCTCCCACCGACGGCGAGTTGCCTGATTCAGCAAGGCACTAGAAGCAAAAGCTCTCTTCAGCGGGGGCTGCCTGTCGTGAGATCACCATAAATAAACACTTCCGCCGGCGGCAGCCAGCCTCGCTGGCTGATCACGGTAAATAACACCCCCGCCAGCAGCGGGCAGTCTGATCAGCAGATCACCGCAATTGACAGATCACCGTAATTATCACTCCCGCCAGCAGCGGGCAGTCTGATCAGCAGATCACCGCAATMAACATYCCCGCCAGCAGCGGGCAGTCTGATCAGCAGATCACCGCAATTGACAGATCACCGTAATCATCACTCCCGCCAGCAGCGGGCAGTCTGATCAGCAGGTCACCGCAATTAACATTCCCGCCAGCAGCGGGCAGTCTGATCAGCAGATCACTGCAATTGACAGATCACCGTAATTATCACTCCCGCCAACGGCGGACGGCCTGATTGACAGATCATTGTAATTAACACCCCCGCCTGCAGCGGGCAGTCTGATCGATAGATCACCGGTATTAACACTCCCGCCAGTAGCGGGCAGTCTGATCAGTAACACTCCTGCCAGCAGTGGGTGGCCTGATTGACAGATCACCGTAATTAACACTCCCGCCAGCAGCGGGTTGTCTGATCAGGAGATCATCGCAATTAACACTCTCGCCAGCTGCGGGCAGTTTGATCAGCAGATTACCGCAATTAACACTCCCGCCAGCAGCGGGTGGCCTGATCAGCAGATCACCACAATTGACACTCCCGCCAGCAGCGGGCAGTCTGATTGGTAGTTCACCGTTTGATCATACCTTCTCACGCAGCGCACGTAAGGGGAAACGTGGGTTTTCTCGTTTTCCCCGAACAGGGTCGCTCTCTCTCTGCTCAATCTCCTCCTCCTCCTCTCTCTCTCTCTCTCTCTCTCTCTCTCTCTCTCTCTCTCTCTCTCTCTCTCTCTCTCTCTCTCTCTCTCTCTCTCTCTTACACACACACACAAACTGCCGCCATAGCTACCGTTGACCGTGAGCAGCAGGGAACCACCGCGCTTCGCGAACAGGTACGTTCGCTGCGCTCGCCGTCGCACACTGCCCGTGCACTGCGTTCCCTCCGGTCGCCTGCGTCCCGAATGCCCCGTTCGCCCTGGTCTCCCACTGTCGAATCTCCGAATGACCCCCCCTATTCCGATCCACCTGCTATGGCTATATTCCATATGGACTGCAGTCCTCACCAGCTCCTGGCCCGGCCCACGGCACCCTTACCGGCCTTGCGCCTCTCGGTACCAAGCAGGTGCCTCTAGTAGACCCGGCCTGTGGCCCCTGCAGCCCCATGTTACAGCCCTAGGGCGATCCGCAGCCGCTGTCCCAACCACCGGTCTGAAAACAGGACCTTTGAAAAAGAACCAGTGCTGTCGAGGGCCCATAAAACGCTGTTGTCGACGGCGGTACTGCGGGATACTTCTCTCGTTCCGAACCGATAAAAGCACCACTCCGAACCAGCAGCCATAGTGTTTAATCTTAGACAGGCCATGCACAGGCAGGGTTCATCAAGCCCTTGGTGCCGCGCCTCGGCACGGTGATACATCGTCGCACTGGTAACCATACCAGCGGAAAATAGCTGCCTCGAACTGCGCCTGCCCGTACCAATCCCATACCAATGCCGAGCCTGAAATTCTATATCGTAGAAGCACCGTCACCATACCTGCCGGATGCAGAATACCGTACCACGTAGATGCCCCGTAATAGTTCCGAACCTGCCCCGAACCAGAGTACCATACCTGCTCCGAACCGGTGTACAACCTGCTGCCTTAACCGAAAATCGGACCACTCACTCCATACACCCGGGTTAATGCAAAGGCAGTAATCAGATCAATCAGGGAAAATCACACATGGGTCCACAATCATCGGAAACTCGCACGGATCATCGATCACGGGGTATATTTTCATCAAAAATAAATTCTGATAAAAATGAATCAAATAACAATTAATCATTTGTTTCCTCTTCTTTTATTATTTTCATTTCTTTCGCGGACTTATTAATTCTACTATTAGAATTAAAGAAAATAGAGAATAGTTTCGTCAAGGATGAATTCCGATAAAACTTAATCAAATAGCAATTAATTCATCATTTTCCTCCTTTTTATTATTTCTAATTTTTTTCTTCAGTTTTACTTTTGCTATTAAAATTAATGAAAATAGAGGGTCCAATTCCTCGTTAAATGCCGAGTGTAAAAGCGGCGCGCCGAGCCTTAGTCCCATACTAGGGAGGACTAAAAAAGGTGGAATGAAGACCGAGGCATCAATTATTTGTG